AATTTTGAAATAATAAGGTAGACTTTTAGAACTGTGACAAAATTTATTTATGATCTATGAACAATTTTTAAAAAAGTTTACAAAATAGTTTGTAAAATATAATCCTATTTTAGGTTAAAAACAAACAAAGCAATTTCATATGATCACTTTTATATAACGATAGCACATGGCCTGAAGTAAAAAACAACATACTTTCAAACTATGGTCATCTCTGGTAACTGTGAGTAGCAGAGAGGTGAGAAAAATCTGGGCATTTTATTTATATTCACTTTTGTATTGTTTGAAATTTTTCCTTCAAGTAAGCTAAAATGAATGCAATTTTATAATGTAATTAAAAATAACTCCTACCCCACCCCTCACATTATAGTTTCTAGTATTACAAAGGAGGAGCTGAAAGCTCTGGTAGTCTCATTAACACAGCCTTTTTGAAAACTGATGAATTAATTCATAAAAGCTGCCTAAGATAATGACATAAGTGGAAAAGCAGGCAAAATTTAGTATGTACTAATGCACGACATCATCTGCTGACTTGCCTCACTGTGACCAATCCTAGCAGGCGTTTCTTCCATGCTACTGAGAAATTGGCAGAGCCTATTTTCATATTTAATGTCGCCACTCCTTTGTCTGAAAGCTCTTTGAGTGATCTAAGCAGCTTGCCTGGAGGCAGGCACACTTCTCATGCTGCGGTTCAATTAAATCTGCTTCCAGCACCGCCCACTCTCAACAGTTAGCCCAGTATGGCAGAGCTGGAAGAAACCAAAACAAAGGAGCATGAGACGGGAGGTCAGAAGTCCTCCTGGGTAGCCCTCTCCTGAACCTAGAGATTTCTTGACCTGAGGACAGAAATTTCCTATCAAGGTCACTTGGCCCCACTTACAAAGTTCATCTGATTTTCCCCTTTCCTTCCTTTCAAAGGTTGAGTCAGCTGACCTTATAGTGGTTCCAGATCAGAACTTTGAAAGAAAGAATTAGAACCTCATTCCTCCATGATGCTAAAGATTCTTCCCTCACTAAGAACTCCTTTCAGGGGACTTTTCTGGTGGTCCAGTGGTTAAGACTTTGTGTTTCCAGGGCAGAGGGTGCTGGTTTAATCCCTGATCAGGGAACGAAGATTCTATATGCCTTGCGGCCAAAAACTTAAAAAATAAATTTGAAAAATTAAAAAAAAAACCCAAACACCCTTTTCAAACAGAGCATTAAATTCTTTAAGGGTTAAATTTCAGTGTGATTTATTACTAAACAACTAGAGCAGATGTCAGTGCTCCGCCCACTCTGCAGCACTATTCACAATAGTCAAGACATGGAAATAACCTGAATGTCCATTGCCAGATGAATGGATAAAGAATACGTAGTATGTATATGCAATGGAATACTACTCAGCCATAAAAAAGAAGAAAATAATACCATCTGCCGCAACATGGGTGCAACTAAGGATGCTCATACTAAGTGAAATGAGTCAGAAAGAGAAAGACAAATACCATACATCACTTAGGTGGTTGTTGTTTAGTCACTAAGTCGTGTCCAACTCTTTTGTGACCCCATGGGCTATAGCCCGCCAGTCTCCTCTGTCCATGGGACTTTCCAGGCAAGAATCCTGGAGTGGGTTGCCACTTCCTTCTCCAGGGAATCTCCCCGACCCAGGGATTGAACCTGAGTCTCTGCATTGGCAGGAAGATTCTATCACTGAGCCATCAAAGGAAGCCCACATCACTTATACGCGGAATCTAAAGTACGGCACAAATGAACCTATGAAACAGAAAGAGACTCACGGACCTAGAGAACAGACGTGCAGTTGCCAAGAGGGAGCAGGGCAGGCGAGGAGTGACTGGGAGTTTGGGGCACACAGGTGCGAACTGTTACATTCAGAATGGAGAAACAACAAGGTCCTATGTACACCTCAGGGAGCTGTACTCAACATCCTGTGATAAACCGCAATATTCTTACATTGAAAGAATGCATATATGTGTATAACTAAGTCACTCTGCTTATAGCAAAGACTGACACAACATTGTAAATCAACTATACTTCAATCAAAATATGTAAAGAAAAAAAAATAAATCCTAGGTTTAAATGTATACCAAAAGCTGTAACATTCCTAGAAGAAAATATGGGGAAAAAACATTAGTGACTTTATCCATTTTTTTTTTAAAAAATGGTAAACTGAATTTTATCAAAATCAAGAAACTTTTGTTCTTCAAAAGATACTGTTAAGGGGATAAAAAGACAAATTACAGACTAGGAGAAAACAATATATCTAATAAAGAACTAAAATCCAAAATACATTAAAAAAAAATCCTTACAATTCAATAATAAGAAACAACCTAACTTTTTTTAATGAGCAAAAGATCCAAACAGACCATTCATTAGATCCAAGGATGCCAAAGAATCTCATTAATAGATGTTCAATACCATTAGTCACCAGGGAAATGTAAATTAAAACCAGAGTGAAATATCACTACATACCTATTTGAATCATTAAAATTTTTAAAACCTGACAATATTAAATGCCAGGGAACATACATAGCAATTGTAACTCTGATGGGACATAAAATGGTAGAACCATTCGGGAAAATGGTTTGGCATTTCCTTATAAACTTAAGCTATATTTATAAAGCACCCAGCAGTTTCTTTTCTAGTGTTTACCTCAGAGAAATGAAAACTATGTTCACAGAAATGCCTGTATGCAAATGTTTACAGTAGCTTTATTTGCAACTGCCAAAAACTGAAAATGACCCAAATGGCCCTCAACTAGAAAATGGATAAATCGTGGTATATCCATTCAATGGAATACTACTCAGAAACGAAAAGGAACAGATTACTAATACATGCAACAACAAGGATGAGTCCCAGTGAATTACAGTAAGTGAAAGGGCCAGACTCAAAAGGGTACTGGAATATTGTGATTTATAGGAAATATATACTTGGTCATTCAGATGACCAAAATATATTTCTCAATTATATTTGGCCTTTATTCATAGTTCCTGGCTCATATCTCCCAAAACAAAAGAAATTTTCTGATTAAGATATTAATGAAGGTGACTTCTGGATCCTTCCCCAGGGTGGGGGATGGTTGCCAGGGGAACCAGTCATGTGATTAGAGGGTTGAACATTTGGTCCCATCCCCTGATTTCCTGAGGAAGGGAGAAGGGGTCTGAGGTTGAATCAATGCCATTGGAGGATGACGCAGTTAATCATGACTGGGCAATGAAGCCTCCATTAAAACCAAAAAAGACAGCTTTTCGGTCAGTCCCACTTTTTCCAACAGCTCCCAAGCTAGGGAAACCAGAACACTTCTGCATGCCACCAGGCCAGGCTCCAACTCGAGGAGGACAGACGCTCTGTTCACCAGGACCTTGCCCTACGTATCCCTTCATGTGGCTGTTGCTTTGTATCCTTTAATATCCTTTTATGATAAATCGGTAATCTGGTGAGTATATGGGTTGTCCTTAGTTCTGTGAGGCATGAGGCATTTAATCTTTGATTTACAGCCAGTCGGTGAGAAGTCCAGGTAATGACCTGGACTTGGAACTGGCATCCTGAGCTGGAGGGGTCACTGGAGCCCCCAGTGTGTAGCCGGTGAGTCAGAGGCACAGACCCAGGCTTATGATCGGCATCTAAAGTGGAGGGCAGTCTCCTGGGACTGAGCCCTGTATGGTGGAATCTGCTTCTAGCCCTGGGTAGACAGTGTCAGAATCAAGTTGGAGTCTCAGAGACCCCAGTGATGTCAGAGAATTGCTTACTGGTGTGGGAAGCCTACACACACACACACACACACACACACACACACACAGGAACTGGGTCTGGGAACCCTTTGTAGGTATGTACTACAAGATTCCGTTTATAAAATGTTCTGGAAAAGACAAAAATCGTAGGGACAGACATTGGAGCCAAGACTGTAAGGGAGGGGCAGGACTGACAACAAAGGGACACAGAAGAACCTTCTGGTGAGGAAACCATGCTTTATCTTAATTGTGGTGGCAGCAAACCACTGTATTTGCCAAAACTCACAAAACTATATAAAAGGCTGAATTTTACTGTTTCTGAATAACTTTTTTTTGAAAAAGCTCCAAATGGAAACCATAAAAACAAATCAGAACAAAACTACTATGAAAATAACCACAAACTTTACGCCCTTAAGGAGAAACCTTTTACACAGGACTGTTAGAAATAAGTTCTGCAGTATCAGACACATCCACTCACGTTCTCTTAGCCACCGCTACCCTGACATGCTTCATAGAGGGTACTTTCAAAGACACCACTGCGTCCCCAGCTCTTACCTGCACCCTGGGCTGTCAGAGGATGGAAGGAGGCACTAACAGCACTTGTGAAGGGCCCAGGCTGGTGGGCTACGGGGAGCTGGGAGAGGCCGTGGGGGTGCCTTCACCTGCAGTGGGAACTGCACCACCCTTCTTGTTCTTCCTCAGGAGACAGAGGCCGTCACAAACGCTCCAGTGGGGCTCACCCTGGTGGGGACCGCAAGCACACCACCTGGCCGGTTCTCAGTCCTGCAGCCCTCACCCCTCAGAAAGGAAGCTGGGTTTCGCAGAGGCGATGAAAGTAGGCCAAGGCAACTGAGCATTCCAGTTACCCGGTGGCAGCCAATCACGGGCCCCTCCCCAGGAGCGGCTCGCTCTGAGGTCAGGCCTCAAAGCAGAGTCTGTGCTGTCAGCCTCAACCCAAGGGGAACGACTTGTCGGGCTTGTTCTTCCACCGCAGGAACTTGAGGGTTTGTGATTTGAGACCCCAAATCAATCTGGGCCACAAGGCTGCCAGTCCCCTTCCCTTGGCACTCACCTAGTCCGCCCTGACCTTGTCCTTGCTTCACACGCTCAAAGGTGACAAGGCCACTCCAGTCCGGGGTATTGAAAATGAAAGGCCGTACGTAATACACCCACCATCCAGAATGCCCTGAAACCCAACTCCCCCAGCCCAAGGAGCACCATCATCTCCTTCTGCCCTTCTGGAGCTGTTTCTGCCAGGAGCGGGGGTGGGGGCTCTACCTGCTGTCTTCCCATCCACAGACACCAGCTTCTTCGTCTCTGCCGTCAGCAGCAGCTCATAAGGGTGTTCCTCCTCCTCCTTGGCTGCGCTCCCCTGAATCCAGGGTCTCATGGCCAAGACCTGAGAGAGAAAGCACGTACCTCTCAGGCGGGGGGCTAACACCCAGACGGGTTACGCCAAACAAATTTGAGATTATCGGCTCCTTTCTCTTCAGAGAGGAAGAGAGGAGGGGAAGAGAAGGTAAATAAGTCAAGTGTCACAGGGAATTACAACCGCTCTCCTGGCTACACATCTGGGCCTCAAATCTCAATGGCCTTTGATTAAAACACTTCCCTTTCCTTCCCTCATTTCATCCTTCAAAATGCCATAAATAAAGCCCAAGATCCTCCCCTCCCCTGCCTTGCCCCTTTCTACATGATCTCTTTTCTGTGGATAACACTTTCTGAGTGGTTTTTAGTCACCATGTATCATAAGACCTTCTCTCTCCATGTTTCTTTTCTAATATTTAATACATTCACACAGTACCCCAAAGGCTGGAATCCTTCCCCTCTTCTCAAGAGGGGATCAAAATGATTTCTAACTAACCCTGACTGACATACATTTACTAAGAACAAAGCTGTCTGTAAATCCTCTGTTCTGTGAGCCCTTCTTCATAGGCCCCAGGGTTATAGATGAGGATTTTCCCAAAGCTGGCTTCCTACCACACTTAGGAGTACACAGTCTTAAATCAATTCTACCAATCTCTATTCTGAAGAGAGGCAAGGATGAATTTCAGTGGAGAAAAAGCAGCTCTGTCGCCTGAGAAACCCCTAATCCAGGCAGCCAAGTGTCTCTGATGAAATGACTGGCCAAAGCCGGCCCCAACATCTGCCAACCAGCTTGAGTCAGCTGGGGGCCTGTGGCCACAGCCAGTCTCGGTACCGGAGGAGCCAAGCGTCTTGACACAAGCCAGAAACACGACGGTTCATGCTACAGTCACCCTGAGAGAGAGGATGGAGATCCTTGCTAGAGAGGATAATTCTGGCTCATTGGTCCAAAGAATCCAATGTGTTTCATAGGCAAATTAAATATAATACTGGCTATTACAAAAGCAAACCAAAACACAAAATCTCTGATTGAGGAGTTTGGCTGGAACAAGGGATATATTATGAAGGAGCGGGTGAGAGGGATTCACAAGTCCATCTCACAAACAAGGGGACTCTACACATGAGGCGTTCTGGCGAACCCAGAAACCTCCACCTTTACTGACATGTCCCACGGCTCACTGGAAACAAATCAGCTTTGTGATTCATCAGGATTTGGCTTCTTGGAGGCATAGCTCACAGTGTTACAGCCTAATGAGCTAACAGATTCTAGCAGCCTCAGACTCAATGAGAGACAGCAGCTCCTATCTGCTAACAAGGCTGCCACTCCAAATACAGTGATGGTCCCTTCAAAATTCTGCTGAGCACAGCAGGCACCTCCACTTACTGAGGGCCACCTGACAGCTAAAAACTATTTCATTACAGGGAGCCACGTGCCTGCATCCCTTATTCCTTATACCTCATCATAGGAACACAATTAAGGGAACAAACAGGGGCCATGAAGCAGTTCAGACAGTGTCAACAACACCAGAGGCTTCACAGACAGGAATTTGTGTTTTGCAACCTTACACACCCAGGGCCATCACTTAGGCAGAGCCCTGGAAAGCTGATTCTGTGAGTGTTCTACATGCAGTCAGAGCTCCCACATAGCCCCAGGCGGTCTTCTCTGCAAGGTATTGGACAGCCTCGGTGCCTGGCCTATCAGATCCTTTCTTCCCAAGCAGGACAGGGCTGATGACTTCCATCTGGAAAATCAGACCACTGGACCTGCATTCACTCCCTCCCTGGCTCCTGTGCAGGACAGCCGGAGGCAGAGAACCAGCAATGGCAGAGCTGTGACAGCCACAGCTAGGGAGCGCCTGGTTCCAGCTCGTTCCTTCAGCGAATGACAAAACCCCGTCCCCAGAGGGGTCCCGGGACTTGCTCAAGGTTACACAGAAAGCTTCCAGCAGAGCCAGGGCCAAAAAATCCAGCCCTCCTCCAGATTCTGGGCTGAGGTGGCCTCTGTTTTTTTCTGGGAAGTACTGTTTCTCCACTCAATTCGGAATCCTCTCCCCACTTCAGACGTCTAATGAGGGTCCCCTGCTCAGACCCACACCCACACAATCAGAGGGTGATCTTTCCCTCTGTCCTGGCCTCTGCCAGCTATGGGATTAAAATCTCATGAAAAAGCAATAAACTGCTTTTCTGCAAGTCTCCCTAGTTCCCACTCAAGAAGCCCTGTGTCACAGAGAATATGGCAGTAACTGATTTTCAACAGAAAGGATTCTGCTTTTTACTAAATTACTCCTAATCTTTTTTTCCCCTTTCTTCCAGGGCTTGCAATAAATCAAAACAAACAAACAAAAAAACAACCCCACAAAAAACAAAAATGTATCCTCTGCTCTATGGACAGTGACATTTTTGCTGCAGAGAAGAGCAACTACCAGTCGCCACCTAACTATGGCCATGGGATGGCCCACCCAGGTGTGGGCAGCTTTCTGGGAAGAGATAACGCAACAGCTACAGCTTCCCCTGAACATTCAGCACATCTAAGCAGAGAGAAAACACTGATCAGTCCAATGCAGTCGGCAGCCCATTTGGTGGGGTGAAAACATCTGAATAGCTGAATATACGTGTGTGTGTATGTTTGATTTTTTTTAAGGCAGTTTCATGATCTGGTCGTTACACTGATCAGCTTTCCTGGAGCCAGGTACACTCAGTTTCTCTTAAAGGCGTCTGTGGATCATCTGACACCTCAGGAATGGGACAAACACCAGGGCAGAGTGTGTGCCGCCTATGATATGAGGTTTGGGGTATCAAAGCTTTGAGTGTATGAGAAATGAAAATGGTGAAGGCCAGAGTCCAAATTTTTTTTAAGTCCACTTTTGGAGACGATCTATCCACTCAAACTACAGTGAGCAGAATCTGTCTGGATCATCAAAAGGATAATGACCCAGACCACATCATCTCTGTATTCATGTACTTATAATCATGTACTTCATGATTCATGTACTTCAGAAGCAAAGCCAGGGTTCTCAGGGTCTTCCAAATGTTGACTATGGTGGTCCAACTGATCCAGAATTCCAGGCTACTGGAATATGTATCTCAGACACAGTTTCCAATCCAGGAGAGTTGTAGGGAGATTTCTCCTACTACTACTTCTTGATACAGTATTATTGCCAAACTGTATGCCCTAGCAAGTCCTGAGAGAAGAGAAAGTGCTGGTCATCCAGTATTTCTTTAAGAGTCTTCCCCTTATCCTCAGACATCAGAAATTTTACTCCAAGTCCTTATTAAAGAGGCAGCATCAGGCATTTACAGAGACCTAGCCCCGACTGAAGATGCTCTATTATTGCTAGGTTTTTCCTTGTAAAAAGGGAGTAATAAGGCGAACCTCTACATAGAAACACGTAGGGATTTACCACATGCACGTGTATCTGCTGGCAATGTATTATTACCCTGGAGCCTGTAATTCTAGAGACCCCTTAATCAAGACATGATAATAAGTATTTTGTAACTAAGGGATAGAAAAAAATAAGGACAGAATTTGTACCTAGCATGGAAATCAGCCCCTATCTCCAACACTGACTTTTACATTCTTAAAAGGATTTCCTTGTGTTTATACCCATTGTTAAACTGAAGTCATCCTTATGGCTACAGCTGTTTATATTAAATAAAAGAACCTGTCTCACTGGATGGTCCACGGCAGCAAAAAAAAAAGTTAACTCTGACTTCTGGTGACTGAGTAATGAGATTTAATTGATTAATTTGTGGTAGCTGATTTTTAAGTTAAAGAACAATAGGGCACTGAATGAGCTACAAAAGACTACTGAAATTATATAATATTTTGAATAAACAATAAATGTATTCTCTGAATGGTGGGAAGTGTTAAAGGAGCATTAGGAAGATGCAAGATTAAAGAAAATATGATTTTCTTCATATACCTAAGTTAGAAGACTGAACTATTTACCCATGACAACATTTCTTGGTTTAAAAAGTGAACTATTCTTTTCAAATAGCCTCCTTTGATGTCCCCTACCTATCCCCTGACTTCTATTTTTCCTCTAGTTAAGTTTTCATGACATTTTCCATGTTTCCCCAGGTATAAGATTCTTCATGTGAAACAAAAAGGGAAAATGCAAAAACAGAAATAAGACCTTTGGGTCAGAAGCAAAGCTTGCTAATCTGGGCCTTCCTTGGTGGCTCAGTAGCAAAGAATCCACCTGCCAATGCATGGGACACGGGTTCAATCCCTAGTCTGGGACGATCCCACATGCCACGCAACTAAGCCTGTGCTCTAGAGCCATGAGCCACTACAACTGAAGCCCACGCGCCTAGAGTCCATGCTCTGAAACAAGAGAAACCACTACAAAGAGAAGCATGCCCACTGCAGGTAGAGGGGAGCCCCTGCTTGCTGCGACTGGGGGCCCGTGCACAGCGGTGAAGACCCAGGGCAGTCATAAATAAATAATTTTTTTTTTAAAGCTTGCTAATCTGACCCAGTGTAGAGAACAGTGATTAGGGGGTATGCTACACTTTGTATGAAAAGACAACACAGGTACAAAAGCCAAAAGAGAGGCTGTTGAGCCTAATGGAGCCAGGAGGAGATGTGCATGTTTGGCTTTCCATGTGGCATGGCCTGCCTGCTAGACAGCCCTGGTAAAATTCCTTGCTTAGTACTTTTGGGTGAGTTTGAAAGGTCTTGTTCTGGATTATTGATACACACAACAGAAGTTTACTAATCCAAAGAGGTGAAAAGAAAATGAGATAGCAAAGTCTTCTTTAAGTACACACTGGATGCACTTAGCAAAAAATCCTATTTCAGTGATGGAAATAAACCCTCAACTCTCTACCTCAGAAGTTGTCAAGGGAAAATACTTCTTATCTATGTGGTCTTCTTCCTCTTCATCAGGTGGTGGTTTTGCTGGAGGTGGAGGACGTTCCCTCTGTAGAAAAGAAAAATAAGTATTTACTATCTCTTTTTTTTGAGAACCTAACTTTTTTGGTTTACTCTTATCTTAGCCTTTGGGAATAAAAAAGAATAATGTACAGAATTCCCCTGACAGACTAAACTCAAGGTTTAATATCTGAACAGATGGAGAACTCTACACACACACACACACAATTCAATTACCATTGCTTTTTTTTTTTTCATCTTTATAGCAGAGATTACAAATATGTCTGTCATATCCTCGGCCACACTGAGAAATATCAGCACTACAAACACACAACTGCCTCATCAGAAAATGTCCTTCATGATACCAGTACACAAACTGCAGTATAGGAAAACCGGTGGCTCAACTTCCAATCTACTAGAGAAGAGGAAACAGTAAATCAAAAGAATCAACTTGTCAGAGTTCTAACAAACCAAAGTTATTAAGGAAATAATGAGGAAAGCCATCTAGGACAAAATCATCAATTCCTGTTCAAAGTGGAAGTGCTAGTCGCTCAGTCATGTCTGACTCTCTGCAACCACATGGACTTGTAGCCTACCAGGCTCCTCCGTCCATGGAATTCTCCAGGCAAGAGTATTGGAGAGGGTTGCCATTCCTTTCTCCAGGGGATCTTTCTACCCCAGGGTTCAAACCCAGGTCACCTGCATTATAGGCAAATTCTTCACCATCTGAGCCACCAAACTTAATGCTACTCCTATTTATTAGCAGAGCTCAGAACTGGTCTCTTATCCTTGGTCACTTCCTTCAGTGAGTCTTATTATGTATCATTAGCACAGGAAAATCCTATTTCATCTCAGCCCATTTAAAAAAAGGAAGAGTTGTCAGTTATCTGCCCTCACAGGGGTTGGCCAGCTTTTTCTTAAAGGGCTACACAGTAATTATTTAGGCTTTGTGGTCAGCTCTGCCAAGGGGACGTCTAAGCAGCCATAGAGGATATGTAAATGAGTGGGTGTGGTTATGTTCCAAATACAACTTTATTCACAAAAACAGGCAGCTGTTTGTGGGCCTCAGTTCACCAGTCTCTATCCTCGAGCAAGAAACTCACTTAAGAAGGGATTGTCAAGATCACGGTAAACAGTTTCAGGAACACACTGAATGATCTTTGGTGAAAGAAAGCCAAAGAGAGTTCTGCCATTGTCCCTGCTCGATCCTCAGCATCTTCATATCCTGAAGTCCTATTCATTCCTGAGAGCTCATGTTCCTACAGCAAAGGGAGCTGGCCTGCAGGCCCCTTCTTTGGCTTGTAGGTTAGCTCACTGTGTTGCTAGAACAAGAGTATTCCTAAATATCTGGGTGGAGGTGAATGTTGAATTAAGTGACAGCCTCCAAGAAACCTGCAAGGAAAGACACTTCTCCCGTTTTAGGAGCTGCCGTGTCAGTTAGCGCTCGGCATCTGTGATCCCTCTGTTAAACACACTTTACTGGCTGGTATTATATCTTGATAATCTGGTCATTCCCATAGTCCCTGCCACCAGATGGGTGCCCAGTGGCAACAACTCCAATGTGGTCAAGCCAAGTAAAGCTATTTAGGTCGAATTTCCCACTAAGTCCACTTTCCCCCGCTTCTTGCTCCAGAAGCACAGGGACAAACCTGGTCCCACTGACCTTGTAAGGAGGGGAATGGCAAAAGGAGCAGGCGCATAATCTCACTAGTTATTCAACCAAAGGACACAATAACTCAGGAAAACCAGAATGAAGCATAATAAAAAATGACTCATCCTAGATGCCTTTTCAAGGCAAGAGAAGCCTAGAAAGAACAGTATGAAAGGTTTCTATGGAAGTGGTGATCACCAGGGACCCTGGAAGGAAAGAAAAGCATGAGTCTCTCTTTTCTACCATGAAAACTTTGGCCGAGGGGCCTGGGACTACAAAGCTGACTCATACATAACTATCCGCTGTGCTTACAAGATGGGGAACAGTCCCTTGGCCACAGTTAATTATCAAGGGCCAGGAAGGCAGCACAGCCACAACATCCTCAAGTGAACCTGGTAAAGCAGGCGCCCCAGGATGCATCAGTCTCTACTCAGCAGGACCGCGGGAGGCTAGATTCCCAGAGTGGGATGAACAAAGAGCCCATCTAAGTCAGTGGCTAAGCCCACAGGAACGGGGTCAGTCAAAGCTGACTCAGCAACCCTGTGTTCTTGCAAAGCTCCCAGCTCCCTCTAATGGGCATCACCGGTAAGTGCCTCAGATGGCAGCGTCTTCCTCCACAGGTTGGATTGGCCTATTTGTACCTAACAGTGAGAGAAGTGAGAAAACAAACAAAAGCAAAGTAGCTCTGTCTGCAGAAGCACCTTGTGAGTGGTGCCTGGCATACATGCTCGCTGTCGCCACTGACAACGAGTTTATCACACTCCCTGGTAACACCCACTCTGGGGGTGCTGTCACAAGGTTGGAAGGCCTTTCCAAAATCCATACGGAAATGCTGGGATGGGGCAGGGTCAGAAGTCTAACAAAAGAGAACACCAAACCATCTGGCCATCCCTAGGGCACTGATGAAATGCCCAAGGATCACCAGGCAGCCAAAGGATCATCAAAATGGTCATAAGCCAGATTCTCACCAAAGGGAAGGGCCAGCCTCTCAAAACAGGAAGATGTAATACACACCTGAAAATATGCCCCAAGGTGAGACTATCACTGGAATCCTGCTACAGCAATGCCTGTTTATGAGAAGCACAATGCTCAAAACCTCAAACTGCGGTGCTGCCGGTGCAGAGAAGGGCCATGGGACCACTGATTCAGGCCTAGACTCACAGTAAAGCTCCAAGGGAGACAATGGGGGTAAGGAGTCTGGAGAACAATGTACAAGGCTAGAAGGAGAAGCAAGTACTAGAGAAAGAGTCAGTCAGATGGGAAGGCTGATCTTTTGAGGGAAAAATTCAGAGTTGTCCTCCTTCCACCATTTCAAAGCCTGGAGGGTTATAACTATGAGAAAAATGGGAGTGCATATCCTAACATATCTACATCTGCTTAAGCCTTGCTATGACCCTGCTGAACACAGACTGTCCAAATCCAAGCGGATAACTTTTCAAGGGCAAATGGAAGGTCAACATGTACTCAGGGCAGACAGGAAGTTATTTAGTGAGCTCTTTCATCGATGGACCTGCTCTCTGGAAAGAAACAAACAATACATAGCAAAGACCCCAAACACAGAAGCAGCGCTGAGCCTAACACAAATAAAATGCTTCAATTTGCTCTAAGGACAACCAAGTAACAGAAAGATGCCAACAGGTTATACTGAAACCGAAAAACTAAAATTATCCCTCAACATGATCTGCATAGTTAGACCACACTAAGCAAAGAGGAAGACAGGCGGAGGGGGAACCCCCAGGAGAACGGGGGGTGGGGGCGGACCAGGCCTCTGAGACACTGCTGGCACTGGGGGCCACACTTCCCTTCCCCTGTTACCCAGCAGAGCAGAGGTGACAGCAGAACCCCAGCCACATACAGGCCTCACTCCAGCAGCTTTCCCTCCGGCCGCCTCAGCCTCCCTGCTCACAGAGTCCCGGTCAGACGAGCGTCCGCTGGCCGTGCTATCCAGGGACTGGCAGGAGACAGCGTTGTACAGTGCCTCATAGGGACCCTCCTCTTCCGTGCTGGTGTTAAAATCGATGATCAGTTCAGTCACTGCTTTCTCCAGGTCACCTAAAGAGGGGTGGGAAGGCAAGAGAATCGGTGAGAGGAGGGCACAGTCTCGGACTTCCCACCACGGCAACAAGCCAAAGCCCCTCCAGTCACCTGAACTTGACCAGCGTTAACCCAGAGCGGGAAAATAAATTACGGCTCTCTCTATGGACAAGACTAAATACAGAGTTTCATCTGCACTATGTACTCTAAGAACTGAACAAAATTTTCTCTAGTTCAAGATGGAACATTTGACATCAATGAAGGACATCTCCCAAGACTATTGTAAATTCCGAAATACCTCAATATCATGACAGCATGAACTTACATCAGAAAATATAGCAAAGTACAACTGAAAAAACTTCAGTAATCCCTTTAAGTTCTTAACAAGAACTTCCATGTGCTCAAGCAAAACAGGGGATGGTGAAGTCTCTCTGAGATGGGGATGCTATGTGGCTGTGAGACTCACTTGCTAGGTAGCTACAAACCTCAGGGTACCTGAGATCCAAATGTGTGACTCTGTCTGCAAAGGAACCAGGGATCTGGTTATAGACCGGGGATCTCTGGGTCACTTGCAGAGAGTCAAAACTGTAACTGTAAAATCCTTGAAAGCTAAGAGCTTAGTGAACTACTAATCCCATTACCAGCAGATTATGAGGTCAAGAAAAACAATGTGACTGGGGAGGAGAGCAGGGACTCCACGGGAAAGACAGGCTTGGGAAGCCCTGAACCCTTGTATCTCTGCACTCTGAAAAATCTTTCCTTTTTTAGTATGTGGCTTTGCTCTGTTTCTCTAGCCTTCCTCATTATGATCTGAATCTGGGAGAGGTGTCAGCCTGTGTTCTGTCTTTGTCATCCATCGGACCTAGGATCCAAAAGGGCTGTTCAATCAATCTGAAGAGGTGGATCCTGGCTAATAATGGAGAGGCTGGACTGCCCATGTGAGCACCCAGACCACATTTGTTAGACAAATGATACATTACTAAAACCTGCCATACATAGCTACCAACCAGATGACACTTATTAAATATTTACTATGGGACAGCTACATTCAAGGCACCACAGTGTATGCTGGGGGGATAAAAAAAGGTTTCACTGAGACTTGAGTTCATCCTGAGATCATCCTGTCTGTCACACATCCCAGGACAGCTCCCATGGAGCCAACTCTAAAAGTAGAGAATAAAGTGTGAAAGAAGACGTCCATAGTTAAGGCCTAAGCTTTGCCCAAGAAAGCTTCATACAGTAGCTGAAAGAAAATGAATTTGAATATGAACTTAAGTACTCCCAATCCCCCAAATTATAATTTAAATGAAGGTTTTTCCATTCTGCCAAAGAACGTTCAATATTCAACCTTTTTCGAGCTGAGACCCCCCTGCAGGCAGAGAAGGGCTGACTCACCCTGAGACTTCTGGGATATCGAGTCCAGGTTGGAGATGAGAGGTGGCTGGGGTGTAAGGGTTTTGTCTACCTCTTTTGCACTTCTTTTTCCAGTCATGTGATCTACATGGAAAGACCAAAAAAAAAAGCTGTACCAAATACCAATGTCTTGGTTCACCCAGCTGGTCCTCCAGTCGGCCAGGCAGGGAGATGGACCCATACCTTCGATAAGTGCCGCTATCTGCTGGCTCTTCTGAGACGGCAGCTCCCGGACGGTGTCCAGTGCGGTCAGTCCACGGTTATCCTTTATGTTGACATCAATTCCTAGAAAGGCACACCAGGTGGACCAGGGGAGTGAGGATTTTCAAGTGAGGGTCAAACTCCAGGACACCTAATGCTCCCAAGAGGCACAACCAACATTTTCATCCAAAGCCATTTTATCCAGCTATTCAAGAACAATTCGTACATTTGCAATCAAGATATACACATTGGGTTCAAAGGCAGCCAGCAAAAATTTCCCTCTGGAGATCCTGTTGGGCAGCGATCCCCACCCTGGCATGCTGTGTAGACAAGAGCACTGCCGACCTCTCACCTGCAGCCAGCAGGATTTGCACCACATCGGTCTTGCCAAACAAAGCAGCCTCATGCAAAGCACTGCCCTTCTCCGTCTGGAAAGCAAACGAGAGCGCAGAGCAGGATGTCATCAGACAGTGACTCAGGTTTGGCGGGGCTTCACATGACAAACGGGACACAGACGAGAAGGGACAGGAAAATAAAATAAACCACACGAAGTCCTCTGTCATTATCTTTCCCACTTTTTGGGTCTGGATTCCAAAACCACAATCGTGGCCCACACTTGGTAGAGGGTGTTTGATGTGCCACCAGGAGGCCACACATGAATAACTGCATGGTCACCCTCAGAGCCACCCACAGGTGACACTCCTCAAAACCCCACCTTCCTGGGGGGGAGGAATGATGAGAAGAAAAGGACAAGGGGGTGAAAACGCTTAACTTCCATTGTGGTCTAGTGGCTGCCAAGCCTAAGGAACGGCCGTCCTGAGGGAGAAAGCTACCAGCAAAGGGGAAGGCTGTGTCCTGCCGGCAACACCAAGATGATGGGACTTTGGAGGTGCGAATGGTGGCAGCGGGAGCACAGATAGAGGAAGATAACGAAAGCTTTCTAATTTCAAGAGGGCGTCCATAAGCACATCTTTTCAGGGTATAACGCCATGTATTACCCCTGAAAAGAAACGAAAAATAACAGACTCACTGGAGGAGTGTGTCTCTAAAGTTTCGTGTTACAATGAGTCAGCGGCTGGAAGCATCTGACAAGATGATGTGAACCGTGCTAAACAGGAACACAGCCCAGCAGCACGGAGCTCGTGCCTTCTCCGACAGGACTCAGTCCCTGGGCCCGGGAGGCCGCGCGCCCCGCTACCTGGTAGCTGCTGTCCATGCCGGCGTCCAGGAGGACCTGCACCACGGCCTTGTGGCCATTCCTCGCCGCCAGGTGTAGAGGGGTGTGCTTCTTAGTGTTGCAGCTCAGGAGGTTGGGGTGTGCGTTAAGGAGCATCTTCACCACCTCCAGCCTCCCGTAGAGTGCGGCCAGGTCCAGAGGCGTCTCGAACTTGTTGTTGCGCATGGTGGGGTCAGTCAGCTCCTCTAAGAGGACCTTCACCACCTCCGTGTGGCCGTACTGCGCTGCGCAGTGCAGGGCCGTCTCGTTGTCATTGTTCTAAAGAGTTAACAGGCGGGTGACCATCAGAAAGGTGACTGGCAGGCAGATGGGCACACACTGGGATAATCACGTGTAAAACCATTGAAATTTAAATGAGAAAAATAGCAGTAATACTCAGGGACTAGTAGAACTATGTCAGAATCCAGACACACTCTGCTGTCAGCAGGCCATGTGCTCTGATCAGCCTCAGTTACTGCCAGAGGGGAGCAGTCAGCTCCTTCGCCTTTGCAGTCTCCTCTAGGCCACATGGACACGTCTCCAGACGGCATGGAGAGCCACCTTGGGAGCACGGCACGCCGCGGGGAGCAGTCCTGGCACAGATGAACGCCCGTGATATCACTGCCATTGACTCATTTTAAACTTCAACTGGTTTTACAATTTCTATCAAGCCAACCCCGTGGTCCTGATTTTGGATCTATTAACCATCCATTGCCTCGCACACAAGCTTTTTGGAAAGGGCTTGTCATCTGCATAGCTTCTTACATGCAAATCAATCGGCCAACAATGAAAGTAGCAGAGCAGAGCACCCAAGATCACTTTCAACATATCAGCCAACAGCCACTGCCAAGGGACGGAGGTGCCTGAGCGCAGTCTCAGAGACACGTAGGACCCGAAGGCTGCCCTGAGCCTGCTCCAGAATACTGCCCCAATCACCACATGCAGGATCTGCAGCTGTGCAGGGAAGGGTTTCTTAGGTAAGAAAGATACAATCAGACACTGGAATATTTTGTGTGAGAGGTGCAAAATATTCAAGACTGGAACGCTGCCATTAATTCAAATTCACAGCCCCATGGTCCTCTGATGCCAATTTTGTTTCAGACTAAAGGCAGAACCTGAGATAAAACAGGACAAGTTTGTGCTTTATCAACCATCAGAAGCAAAATGTTAATCATTGCTCTTTCTTTTACTACTATTGACAATGTATAACTGTAGACAGAGAGAAATTTCCATGACCTCTCCTTTTTTAGAGGCATGAGCGAAAATGATAATTCTCTCACAGGATTTTGAGATTCCTGAATTTATCCAGGAGACTTCTGCCATTTGGGGGAAACAAAGCTTCCAGGGGTATGTGTCCTTCACATCAATATAATGCACCTTTCAGTGGTCAAAAGGTAAAAATTAAATGTTTCCACAAAAGCTTTAAATCTATTAATATATTCAAAGTAATAAACTAGGAGTTACCCAAACATGCATGCAATTCCATCTGCTTTTGATCTGGCATTTGACTGCATCATTTTTTTCCAGCTACTCCAAGTGTATTAGAAAGATCCAGAGCTACTAGGAGCAGGGCCCCCAAAGGCCAGAATGACAGCAAAGAAATTTTTAAAAATGAAACAAGGACAGAAAGGGTGGTAGCAGGAGCCACATGCAAAGATAAATGCACACAGATAAACACAGGGAGCAGCACTGAGCTCCAACATGGCTCTAGGAGAGCGGCCGCTGAGAAGGTACAGACAAGACTTCTCTGGCCACAGAATACAGCCAGTTAGCAACGGTCTCCTGTGATACAATTGGGTCCAAGGGGTCAATTCCATGTCAACACGGAAGTCTAGAGAGCAGGAGAAACACTGGGCCAGAGGTAAATCCTTGGGGCTCCTGTATCAAACACACCATTCAGGCCACCCATGCGCCCATTTCCTATTAGGCTATGGCATGAATAAAACTTAGAGCTGTCACTTCACTTGCTAATGAGAAGCAAGGACAGCTACAGCAAAGAAAACTCATAGGAGCTTCCTGTACAGGGATCCTGGGGCAGAGCTGCGACCTGAGGAAGTTTAAAAGGACTCTCCGCGGTTTAGATCTCAAGATTAGCATGACAGCAAGGGCCAAGAAACTCAGCTTATTATTAAAACTCCAGTCCAGAAAAACTCATTTACTCTAAAGTAGACACTGCTGTCTCTTTTATATCCAAGTTGTCACTCAACAACCAGAATAATCTGTAAAAAGTATGTCATTAGGGCCTGAAGAACCATAAAACTCTGAACTATCTGGCGGAGGGGGAAAGAAGCCTTCCGGGTTTCTGCAGAACTAAAGCAGCCACCGCAAAGCTGTCTCACTAAAGGCCCAGTCTTGATCCCCACCAGGCAAACTGTCTCGCCTGTCTATGTTAAAAATGGCCTAACCACAACTCTGCAGTTTATTTTCAGAGTGTAGGAAGCATCTTGTTTATGCTTCAGTCTTGCCAGAAATGGTCTGGTAACGACAGTACTCTTGAGTTTACGTCTGTGGTGACCACATATCTTGACTATTGAACATGGGCCATACCACTTCCCCTTGGAGCCTGACAATTTTCAGGGCAAGAAGTCACTAAGTTTTGGACTCATGGACCCACAAAAAGGGGCAGGGGGGACTCCAAGGAGGGTACAGACTCCCAACCACCTGGAATCTTTCTTTTTCACACCTTTCAAGCCACACCTTGGGTGGACCTCCCAAGAAATCTGGACTAAGCAAGGGGACAGAGATGAAATACCCAAATTTTCCCCCAAAGGCTCTGCACAAACTCTCCATTCTTGTTTATCTTGAAGTCCACGTTCATTTTTTCCTTGCTAGGTCATTACTTAAAAAAATCTCAGTACCCTTTACACCTGGAGACCCCACTCAATGCATAAATCCATTACTTATGTGCTTTACACACACACACACACACACACACACATGCACAATACAAGCAGTAGAAAACCATCTAGAAACATTTTCATGGCCTCTTCTCTCTGGGAACTATTCAAAACCATCACCTCTCAGTCCTTGGATCATAGTCCAACTGCACTCTTGGCCACTGATGATAGATCTAAGTTAGAGACACTGGGGCTACAGCTCCTAGGTCTCACGATGGTACAGGCCCTGGAAATATACCCACATTGTAACAAAAGGATGAAGTGAGTCTATGGAGGTTTAGAAGACAGGGGAAAAGTATGAGGACAAAGTCCATCATGTGGACCACATGGAAGAGGAGTCAGACTTACTCTGCAAAGCTCTTAAGGCACTACTCTGACCAACAGATGGAAGGTTTAGGAAAACAGACATCAACAAGCACAAAAGCCCCAAATCAATGGAATCCAAAAGGAGGCTTCCAAGAGTGATTCTGTTTACTACGAAGAGAAACAAATAAGGCCCACTTTTTAGATGAGAAAAGAGAAATCCTGTGGAAAGTTAGCCTAGATCAGTGGTTCTTAAATAAGCTTTGTTTTAGAATTACATGAAAGCTTAAAGGGAAGTAATCCTGAGCCCCACTCCAGGACTGCCAAGGTAGCACCTTGAGAGTGAAGCCCAGGAAAACTATTATTAAACAGGTTACCAACCTAGCAGACACCAAATTAACCAGGCAATCATTCATTATGATCAAGAACAAAACAAACTGACATCATGTGCCCTGTGGTGTGATGCACTAGAAAGGAAGGACAGAACATTACTCTGTGGTGTTACTGCCAAGAATGTATAAGCTGAACCTAAGCATGAGGAACTATCAGCCAAATTCAAAGTGACGGACAGCCTACAAAACTACTGGCCTGTACTCTTCAAAAAATGTCAATGTCATGAATGACTAGAAAAGGTTGAGGACAACTGTTCCAGATTATGTACGATCCTAGACTGTATCTTGGACCAGAAAAAGAAGTCACCCTAAAGGACATTATTGAGACACTTGGTGAAATCCAAGCATTGATTTCATATTAAATAATGGTATTGTATCAATGCTGAATTTTCTGAATTTGATAACTGTATTCTGGTTATATCAAGTGAATGTCCTTATTCTTAGAGGAGATACATGCTGAAGAATTTGGGATTAAAGGGTCATGAAATCTATGACTTAATTTCAAATGGAAGCTGGAAGTGAAGTCACTCAGTCGTGTCCAACTGTTTGCGACCCCACAGATTGTAGCCTACCAGGCTCCTCCATCCATGGGATTTTCCAGGCAAGAATACTGGAGTGGGTTGCCATTTCCTTCTCCAGGAGATCTTCCCAACCCAGGGAATCTCAAATAATTCATCAACTACAACAATTACATACACACACACACACACACACACACACACGAGAGCACAAGAGTGTGCACACAAGAAGAAAGATGGTGTAAGCACGCACAATATCAAAAAGTGTCAACAATTGGTGAATCTAGCAGAAGAGTATAATGCAGTTCACTGAATTATTCTCGTGACTTTTTTGTACACTAGAAATTTTTTCAAAATAAAAGAATGTTATAAAAGCTTGCTGGTGATTCTGATGCAGCCAGACAAGCTGATGAATTGCTGGAGACAACTAGTCTAGAGAATGTCCAGATCTCTTCCAGCTCTAAAACTGTGGATTACTTTTAAGTGTCTGGAAAAAACTAGATCTTCCATAAAATTAATTTGACTACTGCTCATCTTATGCTATTTAGACTAAGTCAAAACTGTCTTAAAAGGGAGAAAGTAAACAATTTTAATAGTTTACCCTTCGCTAAGGACGACATACATTTGGACTGGTTTATGTTGACTTGCCAAAACAGGAAAGGTTCTGTAGAGTGAAAAGAAGATAAAACCTCATGAAAACTACCTCTGCTCCCAGGATGGGCATCTACAACTTCTTATGTCTACAGGTGCCTGACAGGACTCAGCATACAAATGTACTTTAGCAAAAACAATTCTTAGACACACCAGGTCAATAAAACCCCACTGAGTCAGGAATAAAACCTAGGGAGGTTAGAATCTTATCAACCTGAGAAGAGTCTGCATTTATCCTTTAATGGAGTTTACAGTTTGGCCTCTGAGGGGTTGGTGGGTAGGGTAGAGGCCAAGGGTAACACAGCCAGCCCCTCCCATCCACCCTCCCATCCTCCGAGTTCTTCATCGGAGAAGTCAACCAACCATGGGTCAAAAATATTCAGGGCAGGGAGGGAGTCCAGAAAGTTCTAAAAAGCAAAACTTTAATTTCCCACATGGCAACTAGTCTTTTTTCAGCCACACCCCGCAGCACATGGGATCTTTGTTCCCCAACTGGGGACCGACCCACACCCCTTGCATTGGAAAGGCAGAGTCTTAGCCACTGGACTGCTAGCAAAGTCCTCATGTGGCAGCTATTTATACAGCACTTATAGCATATTACTGTATTACGTTGTACTGTTAGGTATTATAAGTAATCTAGAGAGGATTTAAGGTGTACAGGACAGAAGTAGGTTACATGCAGACACTACACCGCTTTATTATAAGGACTTGAGTACAGTATCCTCACAGGTCCTAGAACCAACATCCTCATGAATACTGAGGGAAGATTATTTCCAAAGAGAGAAGTAAGTTCTTATTCCATTTAGACTAAGTTTCTTTTATGTGTGTAAAATCAAGGGATAGGAAAATCTGCTTTTAAGAACCAAAGTCATACCCTTTAATCAGAGCTTTATAAGCTAACTAACCAACCAGCAAGTGGGAAACAATCACTTCAAGGTGTCTCCCTGCAAAACAAAACCCTGAATGGACCAATGGAGCAATGTCACATTAAGTGACCCCCACTAGTAACAAAGAACAAATTTCAAAATGGCCTTTCAGAAATGCCACATGATGTATACCTCTTAAAATCAGAAACTCAAATACTACTACTAATCAGATATTTTTACTTCATGTACATGATCTTATTTGAACTCCAATAATCCAGCCAATTAGATGGTAAACCCCATTTTACAGAAGAGGAAACTAAAGCTCAGAGAAATAAAGTAACTTGTTCAACTCAACACCAGTAAGTGGTACCACAGAATTCATACTTGGATCTGATTCGAAAAGAAAGACCTTGATCAATGAGGGTTTTCCACTATGCCACACTACCTCCAAAAAAAAGAAGACAGAGTACCCACCCCTCTTGAAGATTAGAAAACAGAATTGGAAGTGTGGGTAAGAACAAAAGCTACCATGTTTCACCACCCCAGATCAAACTGCCTCTCCACCATTAGGGCCCGAGAGCTGAGGGCAATTTCCTGCAGAGACTGCTGAGGTCCAGCCCATAGGGAGCTCATTTGCTAAATCAGTGTCTCTTACTGAAAATCATGAAATGTCTGCCTTGCATTTGGAAACACACAGAAGGACCTCACGTTTCCCTTCCCAGCGGCTGCTGAACTCAGAGCAAGTGAAAGGGAGCTGATGTGAACAATGCAGTGACTCAACCAGACTCCAGATTGTTGCCAAGAAGCAAACCTCATCTGGATGAAAACCTGAGTCAAAAACAGCAGGTGAGAGTGCAGAGAAGAGAGGCTAACATCATCGCCCAACCCACCAGCTCCGCCTCCAGAGGCAGTCGAGGCCCACGGCTGGATGTTCATCACTGCGTCAGCCCGTTATCTATCCCAGCCGCAGCGAGGGGGGCTCAAGGCCAGTGCCCCGCTTGGCCTTGCAGCTTCATTTCCTACTTCTGAGCTGTTCTAAGAGCCAAGAGTGTCCAAGCAGAGAAAGAAGCTATGGCCAGGGAGAAGAGACTGAGGCTTTAAACAAAGATTCAGGTGCAAACTCAAAGAAAAGAGAGGGAAACCACACCAGCAGTTTTTAAGGGTAAAACAGAGTCACCCACGCCCCTCTGCCACACCCTCACCACAAGCTACGGAAAATCAGGTTCCACCTCAAAAGAAATATAAAAAGCAAACTTAAAAAAAAAAGTTAATCTAGGAAGTACAATTAAATCATTTTCTGACATCTATAATTGCATTTTTCTTTTTGAATTTAAATGATTTTAGAAATCATGGTAGTAAATTATGCCCATATATGGTCCCTTCTATTTCCCCATTTCTGCCACTTCTAAGCTTTTCAGACATTACAGGAAAAACACCCAACCTTTCCAGAACTGGTATGGGTTTTAAAAACAAAACCAAAACCCACTGAAGCTGTGTTTTCCCATTCCCAGGCAAGCCAGAAGCAGATGGGCAGAAGCGGACAAACGTCAGGATGATGAAGAAGAGTCTGAGCGGACAAGAGTGGAAGCTAGAGAGGACCGAACAGAAAGTGCAGCTTGGAGAAACGATGCAGAGAAAGCCTGGCAGCAAAGTACACACCTTGGCATTGATATAAGGGTCAAAGGGGCCGTACTTTTTGAGTTCTTTGATCTCAAGAGCATTCTATAAAAAGGAGAGGAAAAGAAAATGTGATGATAAAATGGATGAAATATATCAATGCAATGCACAGCCCTGAGGGGCCCCAACACTACACCAACTCGGATCTGTCCTCTGGGTGCCTCGAAAGGAAGTTAACGGAGAAGACAACCTCCAGGTCACCTGTCATCACCTCTCTTGCCCAAGCTTCCAACTGGAGCAACATTAATAATGGTTTTTAATAAATCAGTAAAGTACTTGTAACCACTGCCTAGATACATTAGTTCCTTCGAGCTCTCAGAGGTTGTGCACAGCCCCTGCCCCACCCACCTGCCTGCCAGATATGCAAAGCACAGGGGCCAGGGTCCCATCTAAGACACTCCAGGCGGGAGGTGGCTGTGAGCAGGTCAAGCTAGCACACTCCAGTGGCTCAAAAACCCAAGCAGCTGTGTTCCAAGGCAAAAGTGAGCAAAGAGGATTAGGAATGGTGGCTGAAAATTTCTTCAATGAAGAGGACTTTACTGTGTGATTTTTCAACTTTGAAGGATACTGGTTAATAACAAACCTCTTTAAAATATTTCCTCCAGGTAAGAGCAATCACCATCATGTTAGCCAGGAGAAGTAAAACTGCATTTAGGTTCTAAAAAGGCAGGCTTAAAGAAATGATTTTCCTTCCTAATGTTATAAAACAAACATCCTCATCAACGATCTGGAATGTCTGTTGCTCACCTACCCAGAAAATACAGCCTGCAGGGGGAAGGGAAGCTGATGAACAGCTACACACACTCTCTCTCCAAACAGAGAGGGCTGGGAGCACTGCAGCAGTCTTCTCGAACCTCTCGGTGACTCAAGAGACTGCTCTGCTCTGAACAGCTCACTGAGAATGCACATGGTCCTGCTGCCGGAGGGACTTCAAGAACGGTTTCCTGGTTTTTTTGAAGAATAAGCCTGATCTAATCCCAGAGGCCGCTGAACAACCTCCTCTCATCAACATCATTAGGAAAAGAATCCTAAGTTTACTGAGAAAGGGCAGCATCTCTCACATTCAAGCACCTACTTTAGAGCAGAGAGGAAAAGAGGAGAATGGCTCGTCATAGAGAGAGGGCCCATCTCCTCTCAAATCGACACCAGCTCAGACCCAAACTAAAGGGAGTTACACTTCATGAGAGGCTGGTCTAGAACTTCATAATTCAAATATAAATTTCCCAAAGGACTACATATAAAGAAGAGGAGGTACAGTCTAAGAGCACCTGAATCTATGGCCAGTGTATGGGGTTTCTGCTCAAAAGCTGCCTTTTTTATTTTTTAAGAATACTCTCTGCTTTGTCAAAGAATGTGGTGTTTTTTGTTTTTTTTTTTACTTAAAAAACCCCAAGTATTTGGAAATTAAATGTCCACTTTCAAATGATGGGTGTATCTAAGAAGGCATAACAAGGAAAATTAGAAAATATTTTTAACAGAATAAGAATGAAAAGAATATCTACCAGCATTTGTCATAGGCAGCTGAAGCTGCCCAATGTAATGAAATACACTACGGAACCTTGAATAAGGTATGAAAACAAATAATGGACACTAGCATATAATTTTGTGAACATGAACAAAATCTGTACTTTGGTTAATAATACGGTATCACTTTAAGAATGGTCAGTCTTAAGTGAACATTAAAGGACACCATTGAAATGATCTTCATTCTGCTGTGTCACCTCTGGCCTCCACTTACGTGTCTTTGTGAGTTCGTTTTTCAGCTACAGCATGCATTCCTCCACTTCTGATGCACACAAAACAACATGGTCCCCACAGTTCTGACACGCACTGACGTGTTTTGGTTTACCAGCTCAAGTTGCACAGCCGCGTTGATGGCATGAACCCACCAGTTTAAAATGAACCCTGGACAACTGTGCAGGATGTGCATTATTTCCAATCTTGTGCTCTGTTACAGTACTATTCCAAATCTGCATAATTCAAATGCATACGAAACACACCCTTCAAGGTACAAGGTCTCTCTGATTCACTAAAAGGAGTGGCATTGGGAAGAGGGGAATTACTCTTAGGCCAGGGAAGAGCTGGTTCCCTTAGATCTGAGCTGTGGACCTGACATGGCTACCAAGGTCTGGCTGGAGCTGCGTGGAGAAAGCGTCCCTTCCTTCCAACCTGTTCATTGACTTTGGTGTGTGACGGCCCTTGATGGATGAGCAACCGCACTATCTGGGCGTCTCCTTTCCAGGCTGCCAAGTGCAGCGGATAACAGCCTTTAGAGTCAGCCACGTTGGTCAGCGCGTCGTTCCTCAGAAGAACCTCGACCACATCCCTAAAAGGCAAAAATCGACCTTGAGTTGCAGAACCCACAAGTCTTTCCTACCAACAGCTCTGCACGTCTGTGTAGCATGAAGCCCTTTCACAGAGAGGAGCTCACCTGGCTCCCATCTCTACCTGAGCTTATCACCTGATTCTTCCTTTCAATTCCCCGACTACTTGCGCAGCTGTTGACAAGTGGCTGAGTCATCTTGAACCACACCCCACTGACTCTTCACCTCCTGGTTTAGATGTTTTCTAGACAATTCATTTATTTTCCATTATCTTGAAAAAGTCTGGTTTCCTTATTTGTGATGCTGAAACAGCATTCAGGGACAGAATTTATATAAAAGTAGTCATGCAAAACAAATATCATTATTCACCACATTATTCAAAACATTTGGTGAGAGGGGAGCTGGAAATAAGACAGGCAGAGCAGACTCAGAGTGGCTGCAAACATAAACCTTAACCTTATGCAAACATAAACATAAACTTTTGCAAGCAGAAGACACATATGGTATCACTTGATACATCCAGAAAGGATGACTTGGCTTCCTTCTTGGTGACACCACTAATTAAGCAAATAAAAACATATAATTATCCCCATGCACATGAGGTCCAAGAAAATCCCCACTGTAAATAAAAACAGAATATGGACATGAACTTGGCTAACAAGCTACAGTCATTTAAGTCCAAGATCCACTTTAACTCCGGCTACCCCACTATTTAAGGAGGAGGACGTCTCTACAGATTACATTAGCTTTGTCTAAGATGGTTATAGAAAAGACTGCACTACAGAAAACAATCATGTTTAACATATCTTAGGGCTTCCCTGGTAGCTCAGCTGGTCAAGAATCCACCTGCAATGCAGGAGACCCCAGTTTGATTCCTGGGTTGGGAAGATCCCCTGGAGAAGGGAATGGCTACCCACTCCAGTATTCTGACCTGGAGAATTCCATAGACTGTATAGTCCATGGGGTCGCAGAGTTGATCAGAACTGAACGACTTTCACTTCACTTTAGAAAAGCATATTGGAGTCATTTTGTTGTTGTCATTGTTTAGTCACTAGGTAATGTCTGGCTCCTTTGTGACTCTATGGACTGTAGCCACTGAGGTTTCTCTGTCCATGCGCTTGGCCAGGCAAGAATCCTGGAGTGGGTTGCCATTTCCTCCTCCAGGGGATGTTTCTGATTCAGGGGTCAAACTGAAGTCTCCTGCATTGGCAGGTAGAATTTTTACCACTGAGCCACCAGGGAAGCCCATGCAGAGTCACTTAGGCTGGGCCCAATATTGTGACAGTGACACAGAATACCACAAGGTGGCAGGGCCCAGCTCCCTGCTCAGAAAAGTCTAAATGGTCCCAATAAACTCTTTTCTAAAAATTAAACTTCTACTGCTTATCTTTTCTAGTATTAGGCCTCAAACTCTCACCAGCGCCCTCTCTTCTGTTCCGCTCCGGTTTTCGTTCTTCCAGCAAACCTACCCCCTGCACCTGCACTCCCCGCTGGGCCTGCCCCTGCTCTGGGCCTTCCCCTTCTTCACTGAAGGGCAGGGCCCTCTTCAGGCTGCCACAGCACACCTCCAGAGAAGCTTCCACACCAATCCATATAAACATCCGAATAACTTCCCTACACTCACAGAATTAAACAGGCCATGTTATTTGTGCATTTCTCCCTCGAGAATGGCTCCTGTTGTGTACAAGGCTACTTTCACGAGGAAAGAGTGGCAGGCAGAAAGATAAAGGAAACAGAAAAATTCTCACAACCACTCGATCTCTTTTCAGCTTATCAACAGGCTGGTTACCTGGTAGACTATCCAGCCCCATTACGCTCTAGCGTCCCCGAATCTGAGCTTCTTACTCAGATCACTGTATGGCGCTGATCCATTTCAGAGGGGAAAAGAAGAAGCTTTTTTTTTTTTTTTTAAGAAGAAGCTTTTTATGTTATTTTGGAGCAAGGGTTAGGGAACGAGGTTTAAAGTATACACTAAACAGCGACTCAAGAATTCTGGACAGACTAAATTTAGCTTTTCTCTGTTCTTCAGCATCCCTGCTTAGTACATCTTTAAAGGAAGGAAAAAAAGGAAAAAGACAAGCTAAGGCCTGAGTTCTGAAGAGTGGGGCAGGAATATAGCCCATTAATACTTACTTATGGCCATTCAAAGCAGCATGGTGCAGCGGTGTATACCCAGTGCTGTCAACACAGTTCACATTAGGCCCTCTCCAAATGCTGTAGGAAAGACAAAAAGACTGAAGTCAGAAACCGAATCTGGAGGCAGCTAGCTGCTTGGGAAAAACTTCTGTGTGGTGTTTAAGCCAGCAGGTTACTTCCATATGACTCCTGATACAGGACAGCAGCTATGCGCTACAGAAGCACACGGCACTGAGGGTACACCAGTGGTTTCCGGAACAAGGAGTCAAGTGTCAAGACAACACCATCATCATCTCAGCGCTTGTTTTCCTGTATCCTTCTCCTCACTGGTAACTTCTTTATTCATTCAGTCTGGGACTCGTGCCTCCGAAAACTGTCAGGCTTATAAGAAATGGCCTCTTTGAAAGGTCATCAAAAATAGCACTGAATCAAACCACTAGTCAGTTGTAGGTACTGGGCACTCACCTCTAATGCTGGTGACTGAAGGCTGGAGAGACCTCAGCATAGACCAGACAGATTACCAGGATCATTCGACCACAAGGACCAAAATCAAAGAACCCACGTTCGTAAAAGCACCCAGATACGTGTGTTAAGATGCAAGGGACAATTTTGCCTTTCCTTTGTGAATATGTCTTACTGGTAATAAAAAGAATAACAACAGAATCTACATGAGCACCTTACTTGAATCAGAAATACCATACTAAGAAGGTTGAAATGTCACCTCATTTAATCCTCGAAGTCTTAATTCTGACTTCTGTTTCATACCTTAACGACACTGGCCAGAACTTCTAATATTAAGTAGTACAGGGCAGCCTTGTTTCGTCCTTGATTTTGATGAGAACACCTCTAACGTTGTTGGCAGTTGGCCTGAGGTAGACATTCCATAACATGTAAAGGAAATATCTTACTTTTTTTTCCTTTTAAAAATGTATTAGAAATACTGTTTAAGTGTTTTTACCTCTATGGATAAAATCATAGTTTTTCACAATGAACCAAGCAAAATGTTATCAATAGCTTCCTTAATATTGAGTCATTCTTTCATTCCTGAAATAAGCCTTATTTGGCCATTATCCATTAGGGTCACGTCAATGAATTCTATTTGAGAGCATTTTACTTAGGATTAGGATTTTCACATCTGCATTCGTAAGTGAAGCTGGTCTAAAGTTTTTGATTTTTTGTGCTCTCATTATTGGGTATATCTGTGTTAGATTTAAGTCACAGATCACCTGGGCAGCTATCTACCTATTTCTATATTCAGGAATCACTGACATAGAGCACTAAAATGATAAAGAATCACCAGTAAAACCATCTGGGCCCAGAGACTTGACATGCAGACATTGGAAGCAGCATTATTTATAACAATAAAATATTAGAAACAGTCCAAAAGTCCATCAATAGAGAAATAATTATAATAATTAAGGTGTAGACACATAGAATTAAGTACCATTTATACTGCTATCTAGTAAGACAGAACAGAGATTACAACATAATGCTAAGGAGAAAAAAGAAACAACATTGTAAATACTGTAGAGGAAAAATATATATGAGAGATTTATCAGGATAGTGGATTGGGTACACAAGCTCACTCCATCTCTTATCTAAAGTTGTGTGAAGTGAAACAATTTCTACCCTATACTACAGATAACTGACAGACATAAAATTGATAGATCCAACCCAAGAAAATAAAAAAAAGAAATGTTACCAAGTAACTGGCAACACTGAGAAACTCCTAAAAGGCAAAAATCAGAAAGCCTAGATCTACAGAAACACAATGTAGAAGAATGAAAATTAAAATTATCATATACTTCTTTTTGCCTATCAGCCTGACAAAAAATAATGACATTAGCTTGTTAAAGATCAGGGAAACAAACTCTTAAATTCAACTGGTATGAGTTTAAACTGGTGAATTCCTCTGGGAATACAATTTGGCAGCATCCACCAAAACCAAAAATAGGCATTCACTCTGGGCCAGCAGCTCCACTTCCAGGCAACTATCCAACAGAAACACTTGTACACGTGCACAAAGACACATCCTTGTACAGGATTGCTTCTCTGTAGAGTAAGAACTACAGACTTAATGACCACCTATAGATGGGCAGTTAAACATCAGGTACACCCATAAAATAAATTATTACTTGACAGTTAACAACAACAAAGGAAAGACAAGAAAACAAGTTGGACTGTGTGTCCTGACAAGGAAAGATTTTGTAAGATGCACTGTGTTACTGTGAAGTGGAAAAAAAGAAGTCATGTATAATATATAAAAGATGAGGCCTCATTTTAGACACACACACACACACACACACACACACACACCCCCATGGATGGCGATGCAGAGAGTGCTGACCAAGTGCGGAGAGTAGTTACCTCTGGGGAGGGGCCTCATTTTAGACAGACACATACACACACACACACACCCACGGATGGCGATGCAGAGAGTGCTGACCAAGTGCGGACAGTAGTTACCTCTGGGGAGGGGCCTCATTTTAGACACACACACACACCCATGGATGGCGATGCAGAGAGTGCTGACCAAGTGCGGACAGTAGTTACCTCTGGGGAAAGGAGGTATGTGTTGGGGAGGCGCTGCAGCATATAGTGAAGGAGGACTTTCAGTTTCTACTCTATATTCTACCACACCATTTAGAACACAGTGATGAGAAGGCATTCACGTAGTGGTCTTTTTATAAAGTTTTTTAAATGATGGGAAGGAACCCACATACAGGGAAAAGAAGAGCAAAAAATCAAAATAGTAACAATAAATGGTTATATATGTGAGACACAAGTCACTTTAATAAGTATGTAAGTATTTGGCTTAAAAGCTGAAGATAAGTTTTAAGTGAAAAGAGAGGACACGTGTACTCTGACAGCTAAGTTCTCTGTTCACTGTCAGCTAAGGAAGCGCGTGACAAGGTCAGGAACTTGAGGAACTTCCTGGCGTCCTCCTCTTCCATTAAGCTTGGATTCCTGTAGCATCTTCCAGACTAAGAGCTATGAGCAATTATATCTCTTTGTCACACTTACATCTCAATTCCTAAACCAAAAATTATAAACCCATGCCTGACAATGAATAGAATGTTGGAAAGTGAAACAGATCTAGAAAATTTAGGAGGTAGACTTTTCATATTTAGAGTCAATTTGCCCCACAAAACAAAACATCATCACTTTTCTATTATAAAACAGGTGACACTGAAATCCAAAAACAAATTATTTGCCCCAAATTATAAGCCAAATCACTGGCTGATCCAAAACTCTCATTTAAGGCACTCTTGGTCTTTAGCCAAACAGGGACTTTTGTCGTGATCTAAGTGGACGGCAAGATGAAGTGATGATGTAGTCACACAAGGCCACACACAATAGCAAGGTGACTGGAATAGACAAGAGGAACTGGGAAAGAGGAAATCCTCACACGGGTTAGAGCAGCTGGGACATCAGATCTGTTGGCTTCCAGTATCATATTAGCAAGCTGCTACCTTTTCAACTTTCTCAATTCAGGTTCCAAAGTAACCTTAAAACTAAGGTTTAGGGACCTCCCTGGTGGTCCACTGATTAAGAATCCGCCTTCCAATGCAGGGAATGGGGGTTCAATCCCTGGTCAGGGAACTAAGATCCCACATGCCCCAGGGGCAACTAAGCCCGTGCACCATCCACATGCTGAAACAAAGACCCAGTGCAGCCAAGAAAACCCAAAGAAGAAAACAAAAACCCCGGACATGTAAATGGCCCTTGCTTTTAACGACAAGGCAGAACTGTGCAACTCCTCTGTCATTTTCTAACTTTTCCCTCTCTGGTTTAGAGGTGGTTAAGCCTGGATATCCCATTCCAGCACTAAAACTATCTCAAAACAATGAGAAAAGACAAGGCAGAGAGATAAGGAATTTCCTGCAAGAAGCTGCAGCTTTCCCAACTTGGTAAGACCTTTCCCCCTCTTTTTTCTCTAACTAGCATTTCCTCTAAATGCCTATCTAGAAATTTGAAGGAATGGGGAATATATTAAATAAGACCTAAATGACAATGGAGAACTGTCAGCTCTCTGTTTGGAATCTTAGCCTCAGACAGGATGGTAGTAACATCCCCCTCCACCCAAGCTTCTTCCTTTTTGGAAGCCCAAGAAAAGAGCTATTTACAATCTAGGTCTTCCTCTCTATCGCAGCTGTTCTATTAGGTTTTTCTAAAGCAGTACCAAAGGGCCACTCACTAACAGACAAGAGCAGAACACAATGCTCTAAGAGAACCAAGGGAAAAACAAAAACAAAAACCTAAAAATGGCACAGGAGATTCCTAAACATCTAGTGCACTGTCACCACAGCACTGATTAGACTTGACCTTAAACCACAGGGAAAATTCTTTATGCTGTGCTTCCATGCTACATAGTTAAAGCCCTTTATGTTTCTAAGAGCACAGCAGTGTACAAGAACTGCCCAAGGGCCACCAGTTTGCAACTTTTAACATTTGGTTTTTCCTAACCTGCGACCCCAGTGTGACATGATCTCCATGCAACATAACAAACCTGCTACTTCATATCCATTAAAAATGGCCACAATCTCTTGATGGGACATGTAAAAATATTGCATTTGACATGTTTTTACATAAAACAGAGACAGAAAAACTATACACTGAAACCAAAGTGGCCAGACCACCTTCATCTGTGACTACTCTGTGGGATCAGGATCAAATGGTGTCCCGTTCAGTGGCTCCTAGCTGGCAGCAAGCTTGCTTCATGTGGTCCAGTCACCTAACTAATAACTTTACAGACAAGTAATGGTATCTCAGTGGGCTGGCAGGGTCCAATCCAGTTCAACTGAGTATATGTTCAGGCCCCATCTTGCATAGGCCAGAGTGCTACATAGTCTCCACCCTAGAGGAGAGTGAGGCAGTCACACAAGTAAACAAATGACAACACAGTGCGTGACATTCTGGAAAGTATGCAAAGCGTAGCTGAAGGGGAAATGGGAATAAGGGAGGCCCTGCAGAAAAGGAAGACATCTGAGCTGAGCCTTTAAAGCTTAGGCAGAATCAGCCGGGCAGAAGCAGCAAAGAGGAAACAGGCATCAGGCACTCTACTCAGTGCTCTGTGG